ATCAGCAAACTTTCTCCCAGCTGTACAACACAAAAGACATGGCATCTGAATGGGAAAAGATTTTATATATATAATTAATATGAAAATTAATTGGAAAATATTGTCACATATAATTAATATTAAATTTAATGTGACTGCTGTAGATGTGGTGGGCATACTGCTTTAAAAAAATCCCAACCAAAAAATTGTCTCTAACATGTTAGAACAGAAATAATTTTAGAAATACTGTAATTTATAAATAAGGGAACTTACAATTATATTTTTAATTTTTCTCCCATCAGGAGGAGTGCATATACATTCCTTGTATAAGGAATATAGTGCCCTACCTGGTGTAGTACTGAGGCATTAAACATGTCTTGAGGGAATGTCCAAACTTGTTTTTTTTATGACATGATACTCTGTTTATTAGTATGTAAAGAGTTCCATATTGATTCATTAATTCATTTGAAAGCATTTATAGGCTGCTACATATTTCAAAAATCTATAAGCTGTGTACAGTCTAAAAAACAAGCACTGTATTATTAAAACAAAAACACAACCTAAAACCAATAAAGGAGGAGTATAAAAACACATAAAAGTAGATGAAAGCAAATAAAACAGAAATTCAGAGGACTCAAACATGTACCAACCTTATGGGTCAGGGAAAGCCTGGACAAAAAGACAAGGCTTCTCCAAAATATCTGAAGCAACTGAATTTTCTTTTAGAAATGCAATCCGTTCCCTGCTTAAAATGGAAGGAACTCGAATACTAAGGGGTGCAGCATGTTGATCCTGTAATGAGGAGCTATGTTAGGATAAATGGGAGACTTAAATGATTTCTGTAGGTGGTATTGTTGTCCTCCTTACCTTCTTCACTTCGTCTGAAATGTAGGTATTCTGGTTGACAAGGCATGGATTTCACCGTGCGATTAACAGTGCATTATGGAGTGTGCATGGTTCCATGTAATTTTCTGGCTTTGCCAGTCTTGCAGACTTGCCCTTGGGAAGAGCACAAACACATAGGCTTGTGAACATATTTATTTTGAGTAGAAACAAATTGGAAACAAAAAGTTTTGTTTTTGGAGCACTCAACAGAAATCATCCATCAGCAAGGAGGCCCGTAAAACCCATTGCTTTCTTGCTCACTCAACCAATATTTCTTGTTGATTCCATGTTTCTTTTGGAGAGGATAGGCAAGATTAATATAATTTATCATAGTTCAGCAAAACAGCTTTCACTCATTGAGCTGAAGGAGAGTTGCATTCATGGAAGGCCCCCTTTGTGAATGATACTGCACTGAACAAAAGCCCATTCCATTCATGATGGAGCGAAAACCTAGAGCAGGGGCAGGCAACCTAAGGCCCGTGGGCCGGATGTGGCCCAATCGCCTTCTCAATCTGGCCCGCAGACGGTCCGGGAATTGGCGTGTTTTTACATGAGTAGAATGTGTGCTTTTATTTAAAATGCATCTCTGGGTTATTTGTGGTGCATAGGAATTCGTTCATATTTTTTTTCAAAATATAGTCCGGCCCCCCACATGGTCTGAGGGGTGGTGAACCGGCCCACAGCTGAAAAACCCTGACCTAGAGGGTTCTGCAAATCTTTCTATAGTGAAACATGAAATGAGAGAAATTTAGGTATTACCATTGGTTAAAATAGTCCTGAATTGTTCTTTTTAATTACCTGTAAATAAATTTGCTTGAATTTATGGATTTAGATCCAAATTCGAACGACAAATTGTATTAGTGCTATTCCGTGGACGTGAAATAGAAAACTCTGATTATTGTTTATATAAAGGAGAGTATACAACTCCTGAAGGTATTTGAATCTGAAGAAATGGAGGTAGAGATATTAAAAAGTGTGGAAGGAGACATTTGAAAGAGATCTTATGTTAGAGGACTGACATTGACAGCAAGGGGGGAAAGGAAATGGTAGAAATTTGATTTATAAGACAAACTCAGCAGGGAATTGTGAACAGTAGCAAATTGTTACCGTGAATTTCTTCTTGTGCTGCTGTTGTTAATTGCTGATTTTCATTATGGCCAATAAACTGAGACTTATCTCTGAAACTGTGGCTCACTTAATCACCTATTTTAAAAGAAACTTTGTTAACAATGTGGTATTTAGGGTCCCCCCCCCTGGAAACAAGGTCGTGATTTTGTTGATTTATAAATCAGTAGAACACACATTTAGGCATTTGAATTACACTCCACATATATATTTTTTGCATATGAAAATGTTATTCTATATTTCTGTAAATGGGCTAGAGAAAAATAACTATTCCTGAAAGACAGCCAGTGCACTTTAAGTTGAATTTATCTTACTAACTTGCAACTTAAAAAAAATAAAATAATACAATAATGCCAGCAACCCTGATTTTATAGTTTTAGTCTGTGTCATGGGTATCATCAGACACAGTCAGTGCTTCATAAGTTTACTCCCCCCAGGACAGCAGGATCGTTTTCTTCACGATGGCACTGATTAGTGGTACGTGGCTTTTTCATTAGCCATTGAAATCCGTAGGGCTATTTTGTAAACTCGATGTTAGGATAGACTTTCGAAGCGTATTTGGCTGGTTTTATTTGGCCCTCAAAGAGGGCTACAAATCAAAGAATTTGCTTTTTATTGAGTCACCTAAAATTAAACACTTAATTGGAAGCTTTTATACAATCAACAAGCAGCTCTTTTGCATTCTGATGTTTTTTTGTGGGTTGTAGAATGTGCCCTTGTAACAGGACTTGAGGCATAGAACAGCATGTTAGTCCTTAAATAGCTGGGATATTGTGCACATCCTCTAAATCTGACTTCAGAAAGAGAGTAGGATTTCCTAATAATGTTTTCAAATACTTCTATTCCATATGGGTTTTATGATTCATGAACTGGATTATCATCAGTTCTCTGTTTTACATTCCTGGCACATTACTGCCACTGATTGGAAATGCTTTTGTATTCTTTGCTGGAATTAACTCTGTTCCACGGTCCCGAAGCATCTGCTCAGCAGATACTTCTCTACAAAGTATCAACGGGTTTTCTTCTTCCCCCTTTTATCATAGCTTAACAAACCCTTTAAGTACATACAAATGAAAGGAATTGCCTTTGCCCATTGAGATTTTATTTAAAAAAAAATTTTTTTTTACATGATATGCAATGCCCTTTTGATCTTCTGGACTCACTTCTGTTGAGGTTTTTATACATGTCTCTAGGGGTGGAGCCTTAGGTCACTTGTAGAGCATCTGCTTATCATGGAGAAGGCTGCAGTTCAGTCCCTGGCATCTTCAGGTAGGAGTGGGGCAGACCCGTGTCTGAAATCCTGCAGAGTTGCTACCACTCAGTGAAGGCAGTGCTAAGCTAGATGGAGCAACATCCTGACTCTATAAGGCAGCTTTCTAAGTTCTTGTTAAATTTCTGTTAAAACTACATTGGGTAACAGGACTGGGAAAGGGCTGCTGCCTGAGGCATTGAAGAGCTAGTCTTAGTGAGAGTAAACAACAGGCAAGGTGGGCAAGTCATGTGAATTAACAGTAAGGGGGATGCATATATCCTCTTTCTGTTTTTGAGATTCCTCTTTCAGAGAATGCTTTCCAGTTGTTTTTGTCTTGTTGCTAGTGCTGTGTAAAAACTGTGGGTTGTATCAAGTACTCCCCCTGATCTGCACCTGGGGGTTCCCCCTTTTGAGGATGCACTGGGGGCTGCAGGGCAGTGTGGGGCATAACCAAGTGTGCTTTAGTGCTTACTAGGGAAAGTTTTGAAGAATTATCTAGGTAGATAAGACAATAAAATACAGTGGAAAACATGACATATTTTTTAAAAATCCTTGTAGGATATATTTCGGGTAGCTATTACAAAACTGGGGAAAGCGCTAAACTTTCCCTTAACATTGCTCATTGTCCCCAACTACCATGTTAGTTCTCTCTATGTAACATTTAAAGTAAAGGTAAAGGGACCCCTGACCACTAGGTCCAGTCGTGGCCGACTCTGGGGTTGGGGCGCTCATCTCGTTTCATTGGCCGAGGGAGCCAGTGTACAGCTTCCGGGTCACGTGGGCAGCATGACTAAGCCGCTTCTGGCGAATCAGAGCAGTGCACGGAAACGCCGTTTACCTTCCCGCTGGAGTGGTACCTATTTATCTATTTGCATTTTGACGTGCTTTCGAACTGCTAGGTGGGCAGGAGCAGGGACCGAGCAACGGGAGCTCAGCCCGTCGTGGGGATTCAAACCGCCGACCTTCTGATCGGCAAGTCCTAGGCTCTGTGGTTTAAGCCATAGCGCCACCCGCGTCCCGTGTAACATTTAACCAAGCCTAATTTATCGAGGAGCAATGAGGAAGGAGCAACAATGTTGGAGAAGCGACAAGATCTTTCCCTACTGCATCTGTACTGGAATGGTTTTTAGGTTTTTTACTGCTTGTGTGTTTGCTGCTCTGAACTCCTTTAATAGTTGAGGGAGAGAAAGAGAGAATTAAAAAGTGTACCAAGCAAAACAACTAAACATTTACTTGGCTTCAAGTTGTGGAGTGGGGATGGGGAAGGAGAAGAATGGAAATGATGAACATTGGAATCTGCCACATACCAAGTCAAAGCATTGGTCCATCTAGCTCAGCACTGTCTACAGTTATAGGCAATATCTCTCTAGGATTCTAGACGGCATTCTCTCCTTTTCTTTCCTGGAGATGCTGGGATTGAACCTGGGACCGTCTGCATGCAAAGCAGATTCTATACCACTGAGCTACAGCCCTTCTCCTAACCATGAAAATGACCGTAAATCTTAAATCTGACATGCCCCAAAATTCAATATGAGAAAAAAGAAATGCTACAGTGTTTCACAGTGTTATAGAGCACAAGTCCATTGATTTCCACGAGTCTATTCTAAGCAGGACTTAGTTGGGTATCACCCAGAAATTAAATGTGACAAGCCATGATGTGAAGAAAGAACTAAGGGATTCAGAATGTGTGATTGGAAGTTCTTTTGTCCTCAAGATCAGTATGTGTTTGGAAGTAATTTCTATTTAAACATTTTTACAGGATGAGGATGAGCTGGACTCCCATACCATGGTGAAGACAAATTCAGAAAGTGCCGGCACAATGAGAGCCACGAGTACTATGAGTGACAGTGCTCAGACAATGATTGAACATAATAGCACCATGCTTGAATCCGATTTGGGGACCATGGTGATAAACAGTGATGATGATGATGATGAAGATGAAGATGGAACTATGAAAAGTATGTTTAATTTTCCTTTCTGTTTAAAACATGTTCTGTTTTCCCTCTAGACATATAAATTGTTATCAATAAATACGCACTTAAAATCAGTTATGTTATGGATTCTACAAAAGAATGTTGGAGTTAAAACCTTGGGAAAGGAAGTTGTCCATGTAGATATTGGCTACATTCTTGTGGTTTGTGCAGATGAGATTCACATGTGTACTTGAGCTAGTTTTCCCTGACAACATGTCTGCCCTTGGGCAGAAAATTTCATGAACTCACAGATCTCTTCTGCAAGGCAGCTCACGACCTCTGGATTGCCTTTATTAGTAATATTAGTTATAAATACTTTGCTTAATTCATCCTATATTATGGAACTAAATATAAGTTTTAAATGTGATTTCATTTTTATTTAAGTCATTCACATAACATTTCACGTAGGATAACTGGAAAAAGTAAAATATATTTTAGAACTCTAGAACACTTTTCATTAAGGGCACCCCAGTCAAACCCAGAGCCATTTGGAGCCAGTTCTATGATAGTCATATAGATTTATAGTCAGGAGTTAATGGTTGAACAGTGTAAAGGGTATATATTTAAAAATGATGTCATAAAGCATTGGCCTGGTTCGCACATCTTGTTATGCCATGGTTAAAAATAAACTATGGTTTACCGCAAGCAAAAAAGTGTGCTGGTGCACACTGCTCAATCATGCTCTCTTCATTCCTCCCCTTTCCCTTCTTTTCTGCAGTTGGGAAGAAACAAACCAGGATGTTGGCTTGGCCACTTTGGTTTCCACTTGTGATTTGTTTGAAGAGAAACAAACCACAAGTGCTGGTTGTCTTGTAATGCTGAGAAGAAATAAGGGAAAGGAGTCTGGCTGAGGAAAAGGAGGTGCAAAAGAGGCACAATGGAGCAGTATGAATTTTATTTCGGTAACAGACCAGTTCCACATACAATATAAATACAATACAATACCAATATAAATACAATACAATACAGTATTTATTTTGGTAACATCTATTTCGGTAACAGACAGCCCACATACAATATCAAGGAAGTCATAAAACACGATAGGGATACATTTGAATTTGCAATTAGGTATAACAGGGACAATACAGATATAGCAACAGTTTAAAAATATATAAATTAAAACTTAGAATGGAGCAGTATGCATTAGCATGCTGCCAGTTGGTGAAAAAACACATTTTATTATAGCTTTTATTATAGCTTATGGCTTAATGTGTCGTGAGATGTGTAATGTGTTCACTATCTGCTCAAAAGGTAAATGTACAAAGTTGTCATTAATCTAACTCCTTGTCACAAACTTTCTGTCTTTTGCTATTATGACTGCTTGCCTTTTGCCCAGTGCCTTCAAATATTAACTGAGGTTTCCAAAAGCATTTCGTCTCTCCCAACACATTCAGTTGAATGAATTAAGTTTTGCAAAAGCTCTGCTGGAAGTTAGTTAAAACATTGGTGGTATGACTGTTTAGTCATAACTCCTGGCAATGTAAAGTGTCTTAATATTTTCTCTCCAGAAATGCAGAAGAAACATCAGTTGCCCATCTGATGGCTATCTTGCCATATGTCTGGCAAATACACATATGACAAAATTAGCCTAATATAATCTATTGCTAGGATGAACTGAAGCAGCTTTATATGCCATATTAAAGTCTGAAAAGATTTAACTTCTTTGAATGTTAGAAACATGCTTGTTGTGACTTGTAGAAATGGAGCTGGCAATTTAAGACAGGATTTTGTTTATTTTGCAGTGCTTATGTACAGTAGACCATGGGTTTTTATCTCCAGCTAAAAGATAATAAACAGTTCTGTTGATGAGTGATGACTCTTGAGTAGAATGATTCAATCCATAAAACACTTAATACATGTTTTAATTTGTGTACGATGCTGAAATAGGTATTTGCTTTATAAACTTCTATGGATAATGGAGAGATTTATTATCAAAATCTTGAACTAATATTTAACATATGGTAGAAGGGTATTATAAAACATCATGAAGATAATGTTATGTAAAGCAAATGTAAGAGTTCCAAGAAGAATAATGGATGAATTATTCTGAATGGAAATATATTCACAAGAGATAGGCACAACTTTCCAGTCCATGGTATATGTGAAAGAGAAGGGATGCGGGTGGCGCTGTGGTCTAAACCACTGAGCCTCTTGAGTTTGCCAGTCGGAAGGTTGGCAGTTTGAATCCGTATGACAGGGTGAGCTCCCGTTGCTGTGTTCCCAACTTCTGCCAACCTAGCAGTTTGAAAGCATTCCAGTTCAAGTAGATAAATAGTTCCTGCTGCAATGGGAAGGTAAACACTGTTTCCGTGCGCTCTGGCACTCGTCATGGTCTTCCGTGTGCCAGTAGCGGTTTAGTCATGTTGGCCACATGACCCGCAAATGCTGTCTGCGGACGAACGCCAGCACCCTTGGCCTGAAACGAGATGAACGCCGCACTCCATAGTCACCGTTGACTGGACTTAACAGTCCAGGGGTTCTTTACCTTTTACCTTTATCTTTTATGTGCAAGATGCGCTGTGCAACTCTTAAGAAAACATTTCTTTTAATTGCAGAATGAGTACCCTCTTTTAATGTTAAGTTTCCCATACATACTTCTCTCATTTTTTGGAAATACACAACTCCATGGGTTTGTGGTCCATTATAACCTTTTACAGACTTGTAAAAGTCTGTAAAGTCTGGTATTGTGGTGGCAGGTTCTACCTCTGAATTTCATACACACACACACACACACACACACATTAACATATAAATTATAAAATGTACCACAAAACTTATCACTTATACAATCTTTTTAGACTTCCATCAGCACCTCTCATGATCCACCATTTTAACCACTTCTTATGCATTTCTTAACTTTATATTGCTTTTACATCTCTTAACAAATCATCCTTCCCCTTCTCCATTTTTGCAATACTTCCAATAATACTCCTCACAAAACTTCTTGCAAACCTACAAATGTTGTCTGATCTTCACAAATACTTTTCAAGTAGTCCGTCTACCTCTGAACTTCTGCACTTTCATGAGATTTCTGTAGAATGCTGCCCTGCATGTAGCTGTACATCTTAGGAAGTCTTAGGGTTCTCTCTGGGCATTTGGGCATAACTGAAAAGCAGTGTTCCTGATCAGCAGTCCTTTGGACCCATGTGCATATTTGCACACTACAACCTATTTTATTTGCTACAATAGAAAGCTTATTTCATGCTGAATTTCATTGGGGGAGAGGATCCTGTGGGCACCAGGGAAGGTCTCTATGGGTGCAGATGCCCCTATGGGTGCCATATTACTGACCTCTGGCCTAGATAGAAGACTCTGCACATATAACAGTGTAAGCGGATGCTCCATGTAAGTGTTTTAATGAAGTCAGGAACAGAGCCTGCCACTTGGATGCCTCAAACCTGCCCACACTTACATTTTGTTGAAACAGGCTTAAAAACAGTCCCCCTTTTGCACTGAGTGTCACTTACTAGTTATCCTGTAGCAACTACATTTCACTGAACACTGTTATCCTGTAGATAACTACATTTCACTGAACTACATTTCACTACATTTCACTGAACACTGAGCCCTTCTTTAATCTGTACTCTGTTTATATTATTTAGGCTGGAAAAGTTCCCTCCAAATAGCAGGGGTTGTGTGTTGGATTATGCCTCAGGGCAGGAAAGAAGGTTTTGGAAGCAGACTGAGGCTCCTATGATGCTCTAGTTCCTTTCCTGCCTTTGTTATGATGAATTCAATTATGATCGCTGTTGGCACCTGTGTAATCTTCTCAGGCTAGTTGCTATTGATCTTTCTTCTGTCTTGTTTTCAGACTTTCATCTTGAGTGTTTTTCCTCTCCTCCCTCAGCTTCATCTTAATGGATCTAATGGATCATGGTACATCTCATGGATGTACGGAGAGCCATTAAAATGTACATAGCCAGAACCAATTGCTCATACAAGCAGATTCTCTTTTTGTGTCTTTCCATCCAGCACCTCTGGGTAGAAAGGTTTGTCTAAATGGATGGCTTATGAGGTGTTAAAGATACGAGCGCCTTTGAGACTGACTACTCATTCCATGATGGCTGCTTCTTCTTCTTCAGCTTTCGCTGCTAATAGGCCTCTTCCTGATGTTTGTGAAGTGGCTGCATGGGCTTCTCCAAATAATTTCATGTGCCATTCAGCAGGTCCTTCCATAGAACATTGCACAGTTGGATGCAGTCCAGGGACCTGCCCTATTTTTCAATTTTACTCGACTACAATTGATCTCCAAAGAAGATGATTAGCTTTGGTGTATCCCAACATACCATCCCTGATAGCTGAAGATAAATAGTTTGATTGGTACCTACCTGAACAGTAGATTTCCTTCGCTTTAGCACGGATGGTATGACTGCACCCTGTCATATTTGACTGCACATATTTTTATAGGAACCATACATCCACTGATCTGTTAAGCTCTTTTGCTGATAGTATTGGAAGCAGGTTTTCCACTACTGTTTATTTTCTGGTGCTTGTTTTTCTTAAGTTTCTCTTTAAGTTCATGGGCTCATGATTCTTGTATCAAGCTTGGCGAGTCTGCAAACTAGAGCATCATGGGAGCATCCTCCTACTTCCTGCCTTGACCAGAATGTGGAGCCATAACCCAACATACCATCCCTGCCTAAGCCAAAGGAAATCTACCCTTCAGATAGCTACCAACCATACTTTATGGAGGACTGTTGCCTCCTCAGTTAAGAGGTGACACCAGATTCTGTTGAAAGTATAAAAAGTAGTGAACTGGACTGATCATTCACCTTTGTCATAAAATGCTTAATTTCACTATTATATAGTATAAGGAATTAATTTTCCTATTATTTACATATGCATCTTTCACTTCCTACACTGAACTTAAAGCTACCTACATCTTGCTGCTAGACATTCTCCCAGTCAGGTATTGACCAGGCTCAAAACTGCTTAGCTTCAATAATGAAACTTGATGAGGTAGTTCTCCAGCTTTTGGAAATATG